AAAAAAAAAAGTGTACAATTCAGTGGTTTGTAGTATATATTCACAAAGTTAGGCAACTATCACCACTGTCTAATTCCAGAACATTTTCATCACCCCAAAAGAAAATCATGGGCAGTCATTTCCCATTTTGCCCCTCCCTTGCCACTGGCAACCACTACTCTATTTCTGTCTCCACTGTGATGACAAAATATCAAATGAGTACAGTTTTAACTTATAGTTTTACAGAGGCTATATACAAATTTCACAAATCTTTTTTCTCTAAAAGTCTAATTTTAAAAAATACTCGATAACTTCTCAAAGTCTCTCTAAAAGTTCCTACAAAAAGAAGTTGTAGGTTCTTGTTTTAAATTTAGTTTTAAAGTTATACGCTATCTCTTAAAAAATTTTAATTTTAATAATGGCTGAATTAAAAATATTTGGAAATGATAAAATTTATTTCCACATTTCAGAGAGCGACAGCAGGCCTACAAAGGACTTGCAGCTGGATAAGGAGACATACTAGGTGTCCCACTGGCTGGAGAGCAGAAAAAAAATGCAGCAACAGCTCAGTTCAAGTCAGCATAGAAGGGGATGACTGCCCCAGAATAAAACTGGGTTGCCCATCTCACAAGATAGCAAGGGGTGCCCCTGACTAGTGGAGACTACTGAAAGGAAACCACTGAGAATGAACTCTAACTTTCCATGCTTTGAACCCACAGAAGCCCCCACAAATATAGATAATATCTCACGGAGAAGAGGGAGAAAGCCCTAAACTGAGTTTAAATCTTCAACGATTATGTGCGGTGGGTGAGGGATGAGGGGCAGGGGAAGTAACTGGAATTCCCTGGAATTAACTGACTAGATTACACTATCTATTGCCAGACAGGCTACAACTAACCTAGAGACCAGATTCAGAGTCCTTATCTTTCGCAGAAAGAACCTGGTCTGGCCAGGTTGCTTACTATAAATAAACCTAAGATATATGGATTTATAGGGCAGGATTCCTTGAGAAAATGTCACAATCATAAACATTATAGTATAAAAATTGGTATTTTTCGTTAACACAGCACATAAATGACGAAGACATTTCCATACCTTCTGCATGACTTTTCTTGCCCACCTCAACTGCAAGATATACCACTGTGCTACAGGAAAAGAACATCGAGCTGCCCGGAAAAGCAAGAGAATACGCTGCAGGATTCCAGACACCTTTTGGCGATTATCTTTTTCAGCTTTTAAAAGAAGATCATCACCATCTTCCTGAGGAAAATAAAACAATCAATTTCAGTGGCTAGTAATAAGGAATTTAAATTGCTAAAGTGAAAATAAAGATAGGCTAATGATATTCAGTGCCTCTCAAACTAGAATGTTCCTGGAAATTTATGAAGGAAATTTTTAGGCATAGACTCTGAGATTTCAACTATAGCTACTGCTAGTGTCAAGGAAAGATTTCTTTCCCCTCAAACAACGTAAAGGGTTAAGTTGATCCTAATCCCAAGTCTTACCCTGTAACAGTTAAAGTTCACCACTCCTGACTCTCCTGGTGGAATGTTACAGAGAGAGCTCCTTCTAAGGAGAATACCTTTTCCCTTTCTCTGCCTCGAAAAAATCCTACAATATTCAACATCACCTCCTCTCTGAAGCCCTCCCCCTCTGTGCTATACTAGCACTTTGCTCACACTTCCATTGAAGCTTTTACCAATTTATTCTGTACTGATTGATGTTTCTGTTTCCTACTGTACTGAGAACTCCTAAAACCAAAGCCTTGTCATTTCATGTATTATCATAATGCACAGAATAAAGTCCCACATGCATTATAGGACCCAATAAATGTTTGTTGAATAAATGCTATTCAAACCAGTTGCTAAAGATTATTTTCCCAGAGAATGAAATAATGTGAGTTTGTAAATATTTGCTTCCCCAATATCCTTCCTCCCTGCCTACTTCTTAACAGTACTCAGTTTTTATTTGGGTATCTAACTCTCTCCTCCATAGCCCATATGATTCAGGGAAAGCTGACCCTACAACCCCAGCTTCCAAGGAAGGCCCTAATCACATGCCAAGAAGTACCTTACATTAACCCTAGCCAAAGTGACTGATTAAAGGACAGGCATGTGACCTAAGCCAGTCTCATAGAGTAAATCTCAGTATTCTTGTTTAGAATGCTGAGACAGAAATAATTTTGATGTTTTTCTTTGTCCCTCTCCTTCTCCTGCGGACATGGACAAGGTGTCCTTAGAAGCTGTTGGAACCCTTCCTTCTCCCACAAAAGGAGCTAGCTTTCAGGTGAAGATGACACCCTAGAAAACAAACTAAAGAGAAAAAAACTGCCCAATCTTTGGTAACATAACTGAGTCAGAAACCTTCCTACCATGGGTTTCTCAATTGTGTAAGCCAATAAGTGTCTTTATTGTTTAAACCATTTTGACCAAGTTTTCTATTAATGCAGCACAGGGGACTCTAACTGATATATGGTGACATTTAGGAGAAATTCTACCACTGAAAATTACTTTAATAAAAAATAACAAAATGAAGCACTACTAAAAATAGTAACCACTCAGACTACTCAAACTGGTATCAGCACAGAAAATCCAAAACTACCTTAAATGCCCCTTCTAATTTCTAAACCAATATATCGAAGACTTAGATGTGAGAGGAAAGATGAATTATTGAAAAATGCCATGGACTATTTATTCCTGCCATTTGTAATATATTATATTTGTAGTATCAACAAGTGAAATATTTTTTTTGAGACAGAGTCTCGCTTTTGTTGCCCAGGCTAGAGTGAGTGCCGTGGCGTCATCCTAGGTCACAGCAACCTCAAACTCCTGGGCTCAAG